CAGATGATTTTAGAATCTACAAGCTGCTTTGTTTTGACTTTGGGAACAGAGTAAACTTGTCCCAGATGACCTGAGGGGTCCGGATGCTTCATAAAGTAACTCGGATGCATTAAGGCCCGAGACCATTTAGTGCTTTGTAGACGAGTCCAGACCTAATGTGATGCATTTGGGCCAGCAGGTACAGCGGACACAAACAAAAAGGCAGGATTTTTAGGATTTTATTAAAACTCCCAACAAATTCAGATCAACCAAGACCCTGCCATTTCATCTGCTCATCTGGAAGAAGAAGAAATTTTATTTGTATAGCACTTGTCCCACTGGAGCACAAAGTGCTTCCCATAAACAACACAAGAAAAAAAAAAAATATATATAAAAGCAGCAAAATACAGGGACAGAAATAAAAATCTAATTGAAAATCAGATGGTTGCACATCAGAGCTGTATGTAAACAGGACTAGTTGTCAGGCGAACAGGCAAGTCTCTATAATAATGTGTCGCTAAGACCGGCTTTAAAAGCAGAAACTGTCAGCAGATGGACATTAACTTAGAGACGAGATGCAAAGCACGAGTAAGAATTTAAAGTGGATCCTAAAAGAAGAGTTTGCGTATTGTTGGAACGCTTGCCGCCTGCTTGAACTGACACACTGAACAGAGTTATGAGACATGTAGTGATGACGTAATTACCACAGTGGTAGAGTTTGTTCAGTTTCTGTATATCCAGATTGCTGAGGTGTGTTCTCTGACCCATGTGCACCCCGCTCTGCTTCGACAACACAGTTGGACCCCCACCTTGACTGAAAAAATACCTGCAATAAAACAGAATCTCTTGTTCACCCCGACTTGCTGTTAAATAATATCCAATCAAACAGTAAAAGAAAAAATATCCATGATTAGTTACTATTAAATAAATAAAAGATGACCGATGTCATTTAATTAGACCTGAAGCAGTTCTAATGACCGGTATGACTTACGGGCCATAGTGCATTATGGAGTTGTGGTCATACGGCAGGTTCAGAGTGTTTCCACGTTTCACCTTGAAGTACCTCTCTTTCCCTTTAAAAACAAAAGACAGATTACTTTGGTCTTTTGCAGTCAAGTTAAGAATAAAGTAGCTTTGTCAAAATGTTTCATACCAATCTTCAGCACCTTTTTACATTTTAATTTTGTTCGTTGAATATACATATTTTTATTGTCTCATTTATAAAGACAGTCTGCTTGTGAAGCCTTTAACCTAAAAACATGATGTGTCGAAACAGAGTTCCCAGAGACAAAGTCGGCAGAATGAACGTACAAATTGGTGCTGGCTTGTGTTTCTCAAAAAGAGGGAATTGCAATAAATGAAGTGTTCACCTGCTTTGATGTTCTGCCACTGCACAGTGATGTGCTGATCACGGTCACTGCGGCTGTGTTCATGATGCAGTCCCAGAGCATGAATGATCTCATGGCAAAGATTCCCCACGCCGCATGTTTGGCCGAAATACACCGGCTGGACTCCTCCCTGACAACCGACGAAGGAGGCACAGCTACAGAGACAAACAGAGGCCAGTAGGATAAGAATCGAGTCACACAAAAGTACAAAAAAGGCATTTTCCCCCCCCGGTATTAAGTCGCGTAGTAAGTTCTGATTTACAGATTTAGAGTTTATTTTACGTTTAGCCAGGATGGTCATTTTTCTCCTCTGGTATACAGAGAGGACCATCTTAAAGATTCATATTAAATGCAATAGCAAGAGTGGGTTTGCAGCATGATATGCAAAATCCATTTCTTTGAGCAGGGATTAAGTGTCATGGAAAAAATATATATAAATTCTATTTGGTGACGTGATTTTTCTCTCTTTTTTTTTTTTTTTTAAATGGCTGAAAGCTTTTTCAGTAGATCATCAATATGCACATTACAAGTTGACTTTTCATAAAGTTCATGTTAAATCTTTTTCCAGCAATTAATATAAAATCAAAAAGGGAAAATTCAGTCCAACTTGTCTTTGTGTGGACGAAAAAAAAAAAATAGATGTGACCACATCACACTGAGTTAGCCTTGTTGCAGTACATTTTAGAGTTGGGTTTAAGATTCTACTGATCGATATTGAGCTTCTTAAAACAAACTAAAATCAGAGAGCTTGTTTGTTACTTTACCAGAGTGTTACAGTTTTACCAATATAACATTGAATTGTTAATTTGCTCTATGAATCATTTTGCAATTTGAAGTTTCAAAAGGGCCCTTTTATGAATACATATAATTATGATTTTAAAAAGGCAAATATATAAATATATATTTCTGCCTGGCTTTATTGTAATATGGGTGAACTGACCCTTTAAAAATAAATAAATAAAAGACATTTCTCACCCTTTGCCATCCTGGATAGTGAGGTAGTTATGCTCTGTGGTGTGCTGTCTGAAGCGAATGCAGGAGACATCTGAGATCATCTTGAAGGCAGAGACGATATCAACCTTTCGATGAGCTGTTGAGTGTGGAAAAAATAAATAAATAAATCAAAAGAACGTTTTGTGATCTGCACTCTAGCGGTCAGACACGTCGGAGCAACAAAGACCCACCCAGCTCAGAACTGATGGTGTAAGGCATGACGGCGTCCACCCACAAAGACTCCACAGCATTCCTGTCCTCCTGCAAGTTATGACAGATACACACCATTACTAGTTCCACACAAAAACTACATTTATAGTCTCAACGCTAATATTGAGCGAGAGAATATTAATATCAAGTGTGTTTCCCCTCATGTTTGTAATGTTCCTTCCACTCTCTCGTTCATCTTACCGGAATCAAAATATCTCCCTCGTCGAGAATTTTGTTTTCTTGAAAGTCTATGACATGATAAATAATAATAAAGATCAGTCACTGTACATCACATCTATGAAAAATATATATATATTTAACATATCTTAAGTTTACCTTCCAAAGTCTCTGCACTGTCCCGCTGTGGCTCAAGCATTGAAGTCACGTTACCTGCAGAAATCTGAGAATTTAATCACCGTTTTTAAACCCAAAGTCTGAAAGAAACCAACAGGCACCGACCTGCTGCAGGACTCGTCCCATTCTGGGTGTGATTCAAGGGGATGACGTCAACTGAATGCGTGAAAGCAGTTAAATGCTGGTTATTCTATGTTGGTTTATTTTGGCATGTTCTTTGTGTGTAAAATATACCAGACGATCTACCTTGCAAAGCTGCTGTAGGGGCTGGCTTGGACACATCAAGCGTAGAAGTGACGGTCATATTATCTATGAAAACACGAGAATTCCTCATCAATAATTTGTATGTTTGCGTAAAAATAAGTGAAAATCAGTGCGGCCAACACAAACCTGTGAAATAACTGGAAGCCTCCTGGGTTGGATGTACGGGTACACCACCAACAGCTGCATGAAGAGAAAGAGAACACGATCAGCATTGTTCAGCACAAGATGTGGTTTGAATGCTTGAGTTCGTACCTGTCGCCGCGCAGATGAAGACCAGAAACCACATAGTGCCGCACGACTTGAACAAGGACAGAAGCTGTGAACCCAAACGCCTCAGCTGGCTGTTCTTAAAGAGATCTGACAACCATCACCAGGTGTGATCACTTCCCACTGATTATGAGCTCCAGACTGGAGTGCAGAGGGCGCCACGCTTTTGGTGTTTGCAGTTACTCTGCTTCTTTTCTTTCTGTTGCCGTGTTTCAGTTCTTTGGGTGCAGGCCTAGGGATGGATTCACAATTGTTCCAAGTCAGTCCTAAAGTCTTCACAGTTAGGTGTCCAACGCTGGCTGTAATCATTCCCTCTGTTCACACTGGCCATTCAAACAGCCATTGGTAAGGTTTCTCAATGAGGTTTTAGTGTAAGTGATGGGG